GTAGTACGATGCCAGCTTGTATTCTAATTCCTGCGGACATCAATTAAATCAGCAGAGGAAGTCAGATACGTTTTCGAGGGCGACAGCAATGTCGTTCGATGTAAAATATTTCAAATGGCCCTCCAGAAATAATTTCGTATCCGTTTTTTCCTTTACCAGAGTTTTTAACAAGTACGCTTGAAAGTCTGACGATGCCAGCGGCAATTACGTGCCTAACTCTCTGCCAGTTGAAAGGTTTACGCGAGCAACGACTTCGATTCGACTGCTTTTTTAACCATGCCTTTTTACGTATTCGAGTGCTTGAATGACTGTAATAATAAGTTGAAGCTTCCATTGGACGGGGAGCTTAGTTAATTGAGGTTCCATGAGGATCCAGGAACAAAGGTATTCCCAGATGAGCTCTTTTCGAGAATTTTCCGCCACGCTTATCTCTCTTCACGAATGTTGAAAGAATGCTGATTCTAACCCCCATTTCAGAATAAATGCATATTGAGTTGTTTAAATAATGTTTGGCCGCCTCACATATTTACTTTAATTTCTCGAGCTTCAGTGATAACTATCACATAGTTTTCATGGTGGTTTGTAGCTCATTTTTAAAGGTTCATTAACATTAGAACTATCGAGTGTTTAACACTAAACATACCGGTACTTTATATGCACTTATTTCTACCGTAGCTGGTTAAATAATTGATTATAAAATAAATGTAAACAAATTAAACGAAATTTGTCTTAGTGAATGCAGAAACAGAAGGAAAGACAACAATTGGAAAACTGATTAATCAAATAATAAAATAACTGATTAAGTTAAATGCACAAAAGCAAATGCAGAATTTTTAATCAAATTTTAAAATCATTTTATCAATCTTGGTGCGTTTAGTGTTAATATGATTAATGTGTATCTTTATATAGATTTTATCAACAAATTTTTAACTATATTTTCACACATTCATTATAGTATTCAAGTGAAATTATTCATGTTTAAAATCATTTCAGATATTTAACACTTTTAGGATATCAATAATTGTGAAATATGAAAACTGAAACCCGTAATTTTGACAAGGGTGGTAGTTCTAGTGTTGAAAAGACAAAGAATTGATATTTGAAGTGTTTTTTTAAAATAAATTAATTATTACATAATTAGGAAAATTTTGTAGTTAAGAAAATACATGTTTTCATCAATAATATTGAGATAAATTGAATGGGTAATAAAATGATTCTATATTTGAAATCGTATTGTATATGTGTAAAATAGAATTCTTAAGAAAGAAAGGTACAATAAGTTTTCGAAAAAATTGAATTTGAACATTCATCGTGTACGCGTTTATTTGTGTTGCGGCAGTTTGGTATGTCTGATTATTGCGAGTGACTTCTACTTCTAAAGAATACATGGTACTAAGAATAATAATAACCAGAAATCAATTTATACGAAATGGTTTTTAAAGATTAATAATATCATTCCACTAAGAATGAGATAAATATTAATACAAATAAAAGAATCTAATTATAATAATGGGTTTTGTAACTTTACACTTCTCGAAAACAAGTTCTTCTGATAAAAAAATGTTTTCCATTTTTATTGATATTTCCATATAGAATCATTTTAATTGCAGTTATGCTGTCTGTTTTAACCCATTCTCTATTACAGATATTACGAACAAATAAAAGGGAATTTTGATGCGACACACTCTACATAATTAAATGGCTGTTAATTTGTATTGCTCGTAAGTGCGTGCATACATGTTTTCACGTAATTACGCTGGTTTCATGATAGTATTTATACGGTCTTGCTTGATGCACATTCATAATTGAAATAGGTAGATACTGCATATTACACTAAGCACTTTCAAGTGCAATATGCGTTTTATATGGAGTGCATCATTCTACGTGTAGAGAATACATAGTACTGTTTATTCATTATTACATCCACTACAAAGTTCCATTTTAAATATTCAATTCAATTTCATATGAAAGCAGAAGATGAATAAATATTTTTAACTATTTGTATAAAAAAATCGGTTTGATTAATATTTTTTTTAAGGATAGAACTTCATTGTCATTCGAATTTTAGTGAAACAGTGATGAACGTTGCGTACATAAACATTCGAATTGCTAAAATATTTTGTATCTTTATCAAAGATAAAAGCTAAAAAAATCATTTTTCATTAAAAGGTATACAGATTTTAATTAAATTTCTGAAATAAACAGTTTTTGATATATATGAAAAATATAGGTACATAATAACCCTTTGCGGTCGACAGGCGACTTACAATCACCATTTGGTTCGATGTAGTGAATTTATAAAGTCCGATATTCGATAACAACATACGTATAATGCAATTATAAATGGAATAATGAAATAGAATAATTTTATCTCTTTACTCGCATATTATATGCATTTGTATTAGTCGTGAAAAGAACCGTTAATATTTCATTAGAAAATGATAAATATATCTGACGAAAAAAGCTTTCGACTGCAAAGCGATAATAAATAGTAATAACATTTGATATCTATAATACATAATAATAATTGATACCTATAACCCACAAGCTCCCATGCGAAGTCATGTAGTACCAAATAATATTCGATTAATGTTGAATAATACTCGTTGACTACGAATTACAAACGTTCGCCTCATTATCTTCGAGACTCCGTTGGATTTTCATCAAGCGCAAAGTTTAAGTAATACGTAAACAAGGATCGCGAATGACCGATTTGCATATACGTATTATAGCGAGGTACTAAAATTTAAGCCTATTAGTCTCCGACGTTTGCTTTGAAACAGGAATCCGATTGTATCGCAATGGGCGACCTCGCTTCGCTATTTGCATTCGTGTTTTTCCATGCACAGAAATTTGCAAGTCTCTTTGTTCGAATCCGTCCTGAATTTTCTACTGTAATCTCTCAAAGCAATTCTTCGTACGAGGCACGAGCATAATTGTCTGTCGCGTTGTGATTGTATTTGGTACCCTCATAATGTGTGATTAAAATGGGCACCCAGTGTCTTTTCAAGGTGCACATTTAGAGGTGATGAATATATTCTTTTAAAGTTATTTTGGGAATCAATTATTATTTTAGGTATCATTATTTCTCTTATGAATATTTGTTGTTTATAATTTAATATTGGAGTCAACAACGAGATGAATTCAAGGACACACATCATGAATTTCAAATAACCTCGTATCAAAATGAGTTTAAATTGAAATACTGTTGGAGTAATGAAATAAGATTGACGAATCCGTTTAATTTATTTAATCACTTGAGTAGGAATAAATTCACCCACACAGAACTATGTACTTCAAGGTACAAGTATAGATTACATGTATTTTACCCGGGGTCTGACTTTTTAATTTGATTACAGTTTTACGTGTTTTCCGTCGCCCTTGTACTCTACGCAATGTGAACAATTAATCACGGAGCAATCAAGTCTACCAGTTTGTATTTCCTTACTACAAATTACAAAAACCCATGTATTAAGATTTTGATTATTTTATACTTTGGTTTGCGTACTACTAACAAGGAAACTTATTTAATAATTTTTCAAAAAATAATTTGTAAGTATCTTCACAACAAGCGAAAAAACAGAAATCCCAAATAAATTATTTTAATCAATCTAATAATTCTAATGTTAATTATAGATACTAAAATATGTTCGTATACCACTAAAGTTATAAGAACAGAAAATATTTAATTTTATTACATTCTCGAAAATGTTCTCAATTACTAAAAAATTAGCAGGATACCCGTAATGTACATAGATGTAAATTAAATTCCAATTCGAGTAATTAAGACTCTAACACTTATTAACAGTGAAAATTAATTTCTCAAATATTGCGAATCGATCTTCTTCTACAAGAGACGATAAGAAAGAATTGTTTTTTCTATTTTTTATGATAAGTGTTCCTATTTCATATATATGAAATAATTACATTTTTGATAATTGTTACAACAACGATAAGAAAAATGAAACTTGTATTTCTTAGATGATACTTGTACGTGTTACCCGAGACGTGTGTATAATAATACTTCGCTGTGTTTACGAAAAGTAACGTTAAACACAAAAATATCAAATTTGCTGGATCGACGTTGTTTTTCTTGGGGGTGTGTCAACTGGTGCGGTAACGATGGGGTGACCGTTCGGAACGACTAGCCGGTTGACCCTGGAGGTTGTGTCTCGACCAGCCACGTAGATTTTCAATTAAATCCTCTTGGGATTGTAAGGCTCAAGATTGCCCTGTCGTAGGACGTATTTACTTGGGCTAGCATCCGCCAAATTAGTTTTGAGCGACTGATTCAAATGGAGTGCAAACAGTATTTAATGATCTGTGTTGTACGAACTTGTTATATGAATATTTTACGCAATAAATTTTGCCCTGGAAAATTGTTTATTGGCTGTGTGAGTACGTCGTTTGCAGTTATTTGAAGAGTTTTGCTGAATTTCAACACGTTTACCTTTTTTATAATCGATAAGTGTGATTATTTATAATATGTATATCTTAGCATTAAGAAGTAATATGAACATATATTTTGTATCCTATTTTAAATTAATATATTTCAATTGAATATATTTATTTTAAATATTAAATAAGTTACGAGAAACGTAATTTTCGTAACATGCTTGAACAACGACAGAACAACGAATGAAATAAACAAAAATCGTTTCTAACATAATATCGATTATGTATCGCTATGTTATCATTATGTCAGGTGTAATCTCTTACATAGAAAACATTTTATGTATATTTATACTAAAAGTACGTAATGGTGAAAAAAATTAAGTTTGAATGTATTACATTCATCTTTATCTGTAATGTATGACTGGGATTTATATTACAAAATAATTAGAGCATTAGTAAGTTAAACATGGAATTCTTAAATTTAAACTGTATTTATTCTAAACCGTCCGATTATGAAAACAGTGAATTAGGTTAGGTCTGGAGTATTTAATATTTAACGTATTATTGTTGTACTTTATAACAGTTTCTGTTCTTGTCTTTTGTAGTTACAAAATTCGGTCCTGCAAAAGCTACACCTGTCGAAGAAACACCATCTAAAGAGGAATCGGTACCGGAACCATTGAAAACGTAAGTATTTTCACAATACTGTAAATGCAAACTCTTGAAATCATTTACTTAATTAGTGAAGAAATACAACATTTATTGTTTACTACATTTTATAGTTATGGTATTATTTTTGGGAAGTTCTGTGAAACCAGTTATTTTTGTACTCTAAATAGAAAACGATACATTTTGAAAAAAACTTGAGTTTATAATTAGTGGAGGTCTGCAATATAAAATTTACATTCTTGTAGAATAATTATGGTTTATACTAATATTGAAATATTAAGTAATATTGGCAGTCTACATTTATCAAAAAATTTTGTTATTGTTCGCTCTTTCAATATTTGTGTATTAATACATTTTCAAAATACTAAAGATAAATTTGATTTCGTCTGTTTTATATAGAAAGTATGTTTTCCTAGATCGTTATATGAATAACGAGTATTATGGCTGACATACTATATTAGCGACAAGCTATTAATGATTAATGAAGACAGACACATGTCTATTCGTTACACGACATCTGACAGTACTCATTAAGTGTAATGTAATTTTCGAATTGAGATGCTTGGAACGTAGAGGAATACTTAATTATTGTGCAAAGTTAATATACTAAACGCATTGACTATCATTTTCTTAAGTCAGACAATGAGAAAGAACTTTTTCCTTTCACGTGCACGGTAGTTGAAATGGCATTGGGTCAACAAGCATGGTTACAAAGTGAATTCACTTCCATTTCATTTAATCAGAAGTTATGAAACAGGTTACACAATCATTTTCTGATATTGTCGGAAGAAATAAAACAGATTCTTTTCCTTAGAAATACTTATGTTATTGTGACTTTATATAGCATCATTCGTGGCAATAATTCTTGAAACGATTGAAACTTAAGATCATAATTGGAACCTAGAAAATGATAAAATATAATGTTTCCATTAATTCGATCCTCCTCGTATTAATTTATATCACTTTTATCGACTAAATCAATTAATGAAATATTAAATACGTCAATACGAGAAATTGTTTGACACTAGAATAGTGTGTTTTTTCTATAGGAACAATTGACTTATTCGGTTTGCGTATTACCGAATCAATTTCTTTGGTAATTTCTTTAAGAAGCATCTGTTATCCTTTTAGTAATTGCAGAACGGAAATTCTGAAATGGGTAAACTTGATCTATTTGATAGTTTTAGTGTTAATAAATTTACTTATTCGAGTGTATGTTATATGTAATAAAAGTGTGTCAAATCTCAATAAACATATTCAGTGAATTTTTAAATTCATTAATCCAAAAGAAGTCACTTTTACAGTAAGATAGTTTCAATGTTAAATTGAGCAAATGTGCACATAATCGTTATCGACAAGTTGCTACGCATTAAGGAAATATTATTTTGTACACGGTGTTCTCGGAATACGCACACTGTAGAATTGAAAAGAATTGTCGGCGAGAGATTCGAACTTGAAAGTTCAGTCAACTTTAACTCGGATGTTTCAGGAAGTCGAAGACCGGAGTCGAGTGCAGGGTATGTCGGAAGTCCATTGCACCTGAAGAAGCTTCGAGAATCTGCTGCGAGTGCCAGCAAAAAGTTTGTGAGGACTGCGCAAGCTATTCGACGACTGCGAATTCTGATGATGCGGTAACACTTCCTGATTTTTAACATAATATTTATTTATGGTTCCACGTCAATCAGTAGTTTCGATCTTTGTTTACATTACCTTGACCATGCTGTTTCCAAGAGGTAACAAATATATAATGAAATTAGAAAGAAAATTAGAAAAATTAGAAATTTTTCAGTAGTGTTAAGAAATGTAAATAAATTTATTCAAGTGTACAATAGGACATGAAAACGACGAGAACAAAAATTTGAGAAAAATTTCCAATATTTCCTGTTTAGGATTGTTTATAATGGTCGATATCTTTTTGCGTCAGTTGTGTACTCTGTTTGTGCACAAAAACATGGCGGCTTTCCAATTAATAGAGTTTAAAAATTGGAGTCTTTTCCTGATGCATTTCTTTTGTAACAAATGGGTATTATTTTGTAAAAAATACCTTGTTCTGGGATAAATATAAACAAGTACATGAAACATATAACACCAGTATTGTTATAGTGAAATTATAAAAAGTTTGTGTTACCGTTCAACAAGTTTTTCAAAAATAATTAGTTACCGTTTATTAATCGACATTTAAAATTTTAACTTACAAAGAATTGTTAAAACAATTTAAGTAACAATTTAATTAAATCAATTAATAATTTTTTCGAAATTATTTATTTTATTTATTAATATCTTTTAACTTACGGGTAACAATAGTCTGCAACATCAAGAATTTGAAAGTAACCAGAAGACAAATACGACGTAACATGTTTATATTTTCTCCAAAATGAGGTGCAAATTCATTAGAACACAAGGTAAAAATAAATACAAAGAAAATGAACTTAAAGAATAGAAGAATGTATTTCAATTTGTAGGCATAAGCATCAAAGGTATTACAGAAATGAGATGCTAAAAAAGATGCAAAATTATACTAAAATTCTACTTTTAAATATTTTATAAGACTCAATTTAACGAGTTTCATTAATGAATATTTTAAACTCTGCCCATTAAGTGGAATAAATATTAATTCCGTTTGCAGAAAACTCGCGCAACTTCATTCGGTGTAATAAATTTCGTGGAACATAATATTTTAAAAAGACAGAATTAAATATTCAATTAATGTTAAGCCAACTTTTTTTTTTAATGAATTGTATTACACTTTTGTACAATGTGCAGTTATGCCTGCCCTTCATTGCCGTTTCCAATTATCCCAATCCCTTTTCTCGTCTATCTCGAATACTCAGGGGGTTTTTAATAGCAGAGCAATGGGCTAATGTATTACGATGCAATTTATTCTAATCTGCTCCCCCTAGTTTCATTTTCCTTCATTTATGTACTTATTCCCCTAACCTTTTCTCATTACTTCCTGTCAGAGCTTTTATTTCTGTTCCGCATTTAATATTTCATGTTCATTTCTGGAATATTCATTCTCCTTTGTTCATGATTCTTATCGCGAAAAATTATTTTTATTCGGTTAATAATAAATTCTTTCTCGCCGTTCGTGGAATAACCGTTCCTGGGAGAATTCTAAATATTAACTCCTTCCTTCTTCCAATTCTTCTTTGATTTTCGTGTTATCATAAATAATTATTTTCCACTATTTAGTAATAATCCTTTTTACTTTTTGTGCAACACCTGTTGTTCGGTAACTAACGAATAATGAATATTAATTTCTTCCTTCTCCTAATTATCCTGTTCTTCGTTTTTTTCTGCTGTAGAAAATTATTGTTTACTATTTAATAACAATTTTACAACTTCTCGTGTAACTTTTATTTTTTAATCACTGAGGAAACAATGAATATTCATTTTTCCCTTATTCTCCTCTTCTCGGTTTTCATTCAGTTATTGGAAATTATTTTTAATCATTCAGTTACGAATTCTGGTTACACTTTTAATGGAAGAAACTTTTTTCAGTAATTAGTGATCTTTAATTATGTGGTATCTTCTACCGTGTTCTCTCATTTAGAGCTTTTTTCTATTTTTGCGTCTTTTATTTTGTTCGTGAGATTATTTTATATTCAATGCATTATACTGTACTTACTCCAGTTGCTACCCAAATAATGATCGTTTTCATTGTGATGAAATCGTATGATCGTATTTAACGAGGAAACTTGTAGATTAATTAGAGTTCGGCTGTACGTGTCTTAACGGTACCGTGTTAGTCTTCGTTACTAGGAGAAGATTAAGATAGGCATTATAGATTAACATGCTACGGTCTCTGGAAAATTTTCATCGTTCTAGTTTATTTTGTAGTTTGTGTACATATAAAAGATTGAACATGATTGGAAATATGGATATAAATATAATATCATTTCAAACTTACTAATTATTTATCGTTTAAGTAAGAAAGGAGACTAAAATAATTTCATATATTTGGAAATTTAAATTTCCCTATCGTTTATGATTCTTATATTGTCTAGTGTAATAATATATTACAGTAATGACATATTTTCATTATTATCTTTAATCGAAGACGAAAAATAGATTTCAGATACCTGAAATGCGTTGATCTATTTGATTATTGTAGAGCAGAAAGAAATAAAGCGTTAATTATTCTTAAAATTGTTTTAATTTCTTAAACAGTTCATACATTAATTGTATTAACAGGTTCACATCAGCATGTACCACCGGTGGTACACAGCTAACTTAGAACATTAATAAGTAAATTATTTTCACTACATTATTTATTTACATTTACCCACAATTAGCAATTAAAGTTAGAAAACTAGAGATGTAACAGAACAATGCATTTTAACATTATTTTCGTAAACATTATTATTATTACGATGTATAATTAAACATATAGAAACATGTCTCAACGTAAATGTGTTACAACACTCTATATATCACAATAAATTTTAGGTATAAATTTTCTTTTACTGTATTTTTGTAGTTATTGCTATGCTCAGAACACAGAAAAATTGTTACACAATTAAATTTTTCCCTTGTTACAATATTTAGTTTGTTTGTCTACGAAAAATTTACTTCCAAGAAAATGGATTGAGTGCTTAAAATGTAATGAAGGGAAGAAATTGAGTTATGCATTAAACTTTTATTTCTCATTTGCTGTCGTCATTTCTTATACATGGGACACTGCACCGCGTTTCAACAAGATTAATCATTCTTCAGATCTTTTAACCGTTAGTGTGATTGAAGGAAACAAAGATTTCAGCGGTATTAAAACTTATTTTATTACTACATTATAGAACTTCATACGGGTATACATTAATATGTTGATATTTCAAAAATATGATATTATAAATAGATATGATAATTAGATATAATAGACATGAAATAATAAAGAGATATTATAATTAAAATGAACATTCACACATGGCTTCTATCACCCTATAACTGCGCTTGCTCTGAAAAGTATACCTATATGATACTTTTAAAATTAGTAATAAATTATTAAGTTAGACTAACATTTCTGCAGATGATAGTTTATATAACCTTTAATTAGAATTTTCAATCAAATTTAATTTCTATAATAACTTATTATAAACGATAAGATTATTAAGATATTATTATTAATAGGTTACAAAATTGCATAGAGAGTCTATCCCGAAAAATAATGCGAATAATACAAAGAAGAATTAAAATCAAAGATAGATAGGTGTCAAAATAATAATAGAAGCACATCGATAGAACAAATAAGTTAAAATAGTATAAAAGCATGTTGCCATAATTGAGACAGCAGCGGATGTATATACATAATAAGAAAAAAATAAAATAGATAGCGAAGCAACAGAAAACAAATAAAAGATGTGTTGTCAGTTAAATAAATCGATAAATAGATAAAGAAATAGATGACTAAATGAACAAACTTTTAACCCTTTGAGGACGAAGGTTGTCATTTGACTTTCACATTTGGAATACAATATTGCAAACAAATGATTTAATTATTCAAATAGGAAGAGACAACACAAAGCTCTCTTTTTCTCTAACATTTAAAAGTTCAATATACACTTCAGATTTCTCTGCTGAAGATTTTGAATACTTCAGAAAGTCCTCGTCCGCAAATGGTTAACATTAAAACTACCGGGCGAGTGAAATTGACCCACTTCAGAATTTTTATTTTGCGACTATCTAAAATATGAAGACATGTTGGTGAAAGATTTTAAATGAAATTTGTGTGTTTGCACAGATACAAGACTAGAAGACCATCTCAAGACAAATATTGTTCTAATTTTTATGAAAAAGTTGGAAATAAGTCACTTCAACTACTCGGTAGTTTTAGTATTAATAAGTTACAAAGTTACATAGAGATTCTATCCCGAAGAATAATGTTCCGAATGAAAATACCTTTTCAGTCTTCTTGGCGATGTAGCGTCTGTCGACTAAAACTCGCGTCTCGAGACCAGCCAATCGTGACACAGGAGTCAACGGATTCCCTGTTGGGAGTTCCGGTCCTGCAGGCTCTACACAGGAGGCACAGCGAAGCGAGACTCGGCTGCCAGAGCGGAAGTCAACTCGGTGGTTTCGGTTCCGAATTGGAACCGCCAAGGAGTCCGGAATTCAGGAGGCATTCGGATGTGTCAAATGCCAGTTTGAAGGATCTCGAGAAAGTGAGTCAGTTTTACCACGTAATACAAATGTCACGCTTCTCAAGGTTTTCTTGACGATGAAGTTGAATACATTGCAAAAATGATGGTATCATTTGAAACGTATTTATCGATAGACTTCAGTGTTGAGTATTATTTGAATTGTTTCGAATAAGTATTTCAGTAATTTGATATAATTAATAATAAATTTTTAAGTAACTTGATAGAATTAATAATCAATATTTAAATAATCTAATATAATTATACTTAGATAAATTCTTGATCGTTCAATAAATCATACAGATAAAAATTAATTGTTGTTCATAGAAAACTACTCTATTTATTGGAAGGATTATACTTTCTTTACTTGTATACTTTATTCGAATAAATTATTTCCAATTTTATTTAGATAATGAATGAAATTTAGGGCATACGAATATAGAGTATGATACATTAGCAATTATCATCTTGGAATTCATTATGGAATGAGAATATTAACAGTTTTATATATCAACGTAAAACAGAAGTATGAAATTGGTCATTACAAATTTGTATTTCACTTTCAAATGGAAAAATTGAATTTCGTTAAATAAAATTTTATAGGAAATATTATAGGTAAAGTTATTAGTTTATTATCATTTATTACTATAAAAGATGTTATACATATATTGCCAGTACTAAAACAGGCCTTTAAATTCAGAATATGCTTCGAGGAAGTAAATAAAAATTTTAATTAATGAATTAATGAATAGTATTTGCGTATTAATAATATGCAATGTATTCATGCCATTAATAATCAGATGTATTGTCCACAATCATGCTTTCATTGCTTTGGTCGTATGCCAAGGAGTACATACATGGACTTATTGTCAATGTGAATGTCAACATGGGCTACTCAACATGCAATATGGTTCTCTAAAAGTGGACGCATGTTTGTGTTTGTTGCAGGGTGGTCTGTGCTTAAAAATACGCTTCATCATGTTTCCTTTTTCGATGATGAAAGAAAATTTCGATACATTTATAAACAATTTCAAACTACACACTGCAACTACAGCATCAGTTTACTGTTGTAAAATAATTCAAAGGATACACAGTGTGTCACATTTTCGTCGATATCATGCATATACAAGTCTGTTACAACTTGGAAATTTTGTTTAATGAATTAAAATATTATATGACTAATTCGATTGTTTGATCTGTTATATTAATTGTAAACAATTTCACAAAAATTATGGACATTTAAAACATGACACCTATGGATGCACAACACCATGAATTGCAAACATGAATATACCTATTATTAAATAACTTCTATACATATTTATAATAAACAATAAAATTTCCATTAATTAAATTATTTAACATAATATAAAATAAATTAACTTATTTAAATTAATTATAACTGAAAATGCTAAAATAACTTAAAAATGTATTAACATAAATATTATTAATATTAACACTTATAAGAAATGAATAAATAAACAATATTATTCTTTAAGTAATATAATACATTTTTAATCGAATTATAATGTTCTAATTAACGTAATTAGTTAAACTATTAAGTACATACCTACATCTTTTATAATATCTATTTCACCACAATCATTAACTTATTGTTGAATAACACAGCTTGGGGTAATCTGCATGCAATAAAAACCAATCTTGAAAGGTTGCGTGATAAATTATGCTACGTGAAGACTAGTAGAGGATAAATGCGAAAATAAATTAATATCTCGAAGCGTATGAGGCTTTCGTGCATATGCAAATGAACTTCGATATCAGAAACGAAGGAGGAAAATATTTCTTGAAGGAAATTTTCAAGGAGAATTCTTTGAAATATCTTGCATGTAAATCTACACTAAAGTATTGCTCTTCTTTATGTTTCTATCTATTTGCCATGTTAAGCATTATAATATTAAATAAAACATTTGAATATTTAATACTAATTACAGTGTTAAATATAATATAATGTATAATTACATTAGTGAATTTAAGAATTTTTTTTCTTATGCACTACCGCAACTGTAATATACACATTGCTCATAAACGTGTACTAATATACGTATACTAATATTATCGAATTGAATTTAAAATTTTCGTCACGAGTCAGACACGATATTATAAGGCTAGGGGTTAACAATGACATCATTATTTTATTCCTAGGCTGTGTTATTCGTGTATGTGCAGGTAGACACTCGCTCAGCTAAAAGTATGTGTAAGTCACGTGATAATGCTAAGTGCGTACAAAATGAAAGTTTAGCTAAGTTGATTATGAGCAAAGGATAAGTGGTTTTAGATTTAGGTAAATTAGTAGGTACTTTAGTAACTGAAGTACTTTAATAACTACTTTAGTAACTTCACTGTAGCGTGGTAACCGATGTAATTAATATTCACAGTGAGAACTAAAATTAAGAATATTATCTGAAGCTATCTAATATAAGTTGGATTAAATTAGAAATAAATGACATGATATATAATTTAATAAAACATTTTGTGCTCCAGAGAAAGAAGTATCTTAATTTTTAATTAGTAGCGCACAAACGAGTATCATGTAATAAATCTTTAAACACTTTACTTACTGGCAAATATTTAGTATTTTTAAAGACTAACTAATATTAACAACTAACAATTTCTTAATAAATCTTTCACTAATAATATTAACTATAATCATAACTACCGAATTCTCTTAAATAATGTAATACAACTTCTTTTGGAATTATTGTACAAGGAAAATTATAAAATTTATTTTCAATGCAACATTTAACATTAAGAAATCTATTAATGGTTTTCAATAAGAAAAAATAATATACATTCTAAAACAAAATAGATTTCGAAAAGATTTAGAATTACTGACACAGAATGATAGTAAACATCTGTGAATCGATTCATCTCTTACCTATGTAAAGTTAATTAACAATGAAGTTCGGATGAGTATTATAGATGTTTCTGACAATCGCAGTGTAGTGGCAATAAGGAAAAGCTATGCAAATCAGTAAAAATGAGACAGAAGACAGGGGAAGACGGTCAGGTTTCGATCGTAAGGATTTATTGGAAATTGCTTTTTGTTGGTCGAGAGAAAAATCGACAGAATCTCATTTCTCTGGAAACGACTACGGAAACGAAAGAAAGTGGAATGAAATTGAAATCAGAGACGAAGCAGTGACGGCGCGCGACAAGGAGCGGGCATCGCGTTAGGGAGGATCCGGAAATCGCTCGCGAAAGGAACGAAAAAGTAAAAAAAAGAAGGTCGTAAATGAGAATTCTGACTCTTTAAATCTTTACCCGGTAAACAAATGGGAATTAGTAGTCATTAGTGATAGAGGATCTCTCTTAACGTGGGCGGCAAAGGAATCTAAATAAGGATAATTCCGGTTTTTTGTACTCCCATTACTACATTTCAGAACTCTTTCACGCATTCGTTCTTTTGCGATCGTTAAGTAACTGAATATTTATACTTTTTATACATAGAATAACTCTTCTTCGTTTTACTGTTAATTTATGCATTGTATCAATCGAACATATTGTAAAGTGTACTATGTTGTGAATTTAAACAATTTTTCTTAAGAACAATATCATTTATTAAATAAAGGAAGGTATTTCAAAGAAGGACAGCATTATTTATTAAATAAAGAAAAATATTTTATTTAGACAAGAAAAATCTAAGTTAAAGACTAAATAATGATATAGAAAATGATAGTGTAAAGTGTCAATCAAATTGGGTCGTCGGTCTTCAAAGTATCGTTAAGATCGATTTGAAGAACGTTTTTTTTGGGAAATAGCATTTAAAGTTTCAAATATAAGTTAAAGTGGGAAAAAAATGTTGTTTATTTGCTTATATTTACTTGTCAATTTCCAGGTAATATAAGTTACCTACCTTAAACGTTGTCGCATTCATCAATTTGTTTTTCATTGTTCTTTTTTTTAATAATTCTCTCTGCTTTCGATCGTTACTAATTTTTTAACAACGACTATTAACAAACATTAAACAATAGAAATCTCCATACTTTGTGTTATTTTTAACAATAATTTTGCTTTCATAAAACATAACAACAAATATCTTCAACAAATAACTTCGCTAATTTTCTTAAATAAAATCACCTAAACATATACTTAAAACACAGTATTACGGAGTAAAATAATTTCTAAAAAAATTTATATTTTGCATAATTTTTTTTTATCAATATTGAAGCAAACTAAAGATAAAATTTTATTTCAGTATTTTATTATATATTTCACTGATGTACATAGTATTTTTAATTTCGAAATTACATCTCATACGAGTTAAAATTAACTGCTTCCCAAATATTATAAACAAATTAACAAAGTGACACATTAAACCACAACCGAGTTACATAATCCTCATATTAGCTTCGTAACATTTTCCGACCAGAAAACGGACAGCTGTACCGCAAAGTTAATTACAAATTGATTACTTAATTTGCGAGCGTTCTGCACAGAAGCGCGGGACAATTATTTATTACTCCCATAAGGAAAAAAACCGTGTGCCAAAGCTTTCACGAAGAGACTAATAGGCGCCCAATCGATATCGTGAAATGGTGTCGGCGTTGTCGAGCGTAGCCGGTGACGTAGGCTCGCGAATTACAAACCGAACTCAGAGATAATACCTCGCGACAAATTTATCGGGTCTAAAACGCCGTTTCGAACGGTCGCAATTAGGGCTCGGAATCTGAAAATTAGATCCCGCCATTCCGTTAAAATCTGACGCAATTTCCTCGATTACATCTCGAATTGGATCAGCCGTTCGCCCGTTGCTGGAGGCATTTACCCTGAAATTCGTGCATCGATTGAACAGTAGCTAGAGCGGATGTCAATGCCAATTAATAGGAGGAAGATAAACAATAATGCCGGCGGTGAATCGGCCCGCGTCAGGCGCAGACACGCCGCCTCCTCGTAAATAACGAATTTTCTTTATGTTATGCGAAACACGTTTGTCTGGGATAAGTGACATCTGTGTTAGCATTCATCAACCACGGGCTCATAGATTGGAGTCAGTTTACAAAGAAAAGAGTATTAGAAATATATATAATTTTAACTCTTTGAGAATGAATGTCGCCATTTTCGAAACATCACAGTTTCATACCTGAGGTACCTTAATTATTCAAGTATCAAAAAACCGATACATAGTTCTCATTTTCTTTACCGTGTATGATTTCGAAGCATAATTTAGTTTCCTCTGTTGAAGGTTTTGAATGTTTTAAAAAAATCCTTGTCCACGAAAGCCTAATAATACTATGGGACTTATTTAACTCTTTGAGTGTCGAATATTCCCAGTCGAAACGTACCGTATGGACGGAATATTTCGTTGCTCATCTGAAGATCGATAAATTATGTTAATTCATACAATTAATTCAATTGTAATAAATTGTAATTTATTATAATTTATTAATTGATTAAAAACCAAATTAAATAATGCTAAGAAACGCGTATATTTATCACAGACACTTATAATTGTTATCACCGCACGTGTGAGATTAAAAAGATCGAAAAACACATACATGCGCCCATAGTCCACAGTGATGACTTCCGCTGGACGCATATACGCGCCCACAGCACTCAAAGAATTAACACTGGAAATACGGAACGTGTCAATTTGACATACATTCATTTTTATGAACTGTTGGTTTTCTAGTCAAATAAAAAATCAGTTTTTATTTAAACTGACAATAGGAAAACACGACGTTTTTCTGGTAAATACAGAAACTCGGGATGTAATGAAAACTACCTGTCCATAGCCGACGTGTGCTCCGATGTCCTTAATTCTGAAGGGGCAAGTGCAGCAAGGAGACACGGCCATTTGCTATGAACGTTAAACGCCTCGGTTCCTACCACTTTTTTTATTATTTAAACAAAATACGACAAAGTAAGATACTAATAAGAAGTTTACTCTATATTCATTCTCTACCGTTATATCTCACTTTATCATATTCTGTTTTATTTGCGATGAATAAAAGTAACGAAAACTGCAAATGAAACAGAATACGATAAAGTGAGACATAACGATAGGGAATGAATAGGGGCGTCGACTCCTTATTTGTACTCACTTCGTTGTATTCTGTTTCATTTGTGATCTTCGTTCACGCGATTCGGCTAATAACAAAAACTGTCGAAACTGATGCGAGGTTCATCCCAAATGGTCGTATCCCTTAGCGCACTTGCGCCTTCAGAATTAAGGACATCTGAAGAAATGTCGTCTGTGGACAGTACATACATATGTCACATACACAGCAAATTTCATCTTATACCACATACGCAATTAAAAATATTTCTTATTCCTTTTTTATAAATATTTATAAATTTTGTAAAATTTAATTAAATTTAATATCGAAATTGTATAAAATTCGTTTAATTGCGTATGTGTTATATGTCACAATATACTGTCATATACTGTCCACAAACGACGTTTCTTATATTATCATCCTTGTGATCTGTTGCGATCGTACAGTGACGTCGACACTGCAGTTTGATAAATGACATAAGATCATTGCCACACCGTTTTGTCAATCGCGCGGTATCGTTGCGTGTTCTTATTTTCTCAAACGTATTTAGTGCCAGTAAATTGTTGAGATTGTTGTGATTAAAATAAGTTCAAACACGATGTAAATCAGACTAATTTCAGTGACTTAATGTACTTAACAAAATTAAAGCTTCATTTCTTTAAAGCTATGCACGTCTCTCTGGGAAAAACAGATTTGGCGCATTTACTTCCGTCGCGTTTGTCTTTGCTCAACGGGCCATTTCAATTTCAGTATCGCGACGTCAGTGATTTTCCGTTACGAGTGACGTCTGTGAACATACGTCGTAAATTTGAAGGATTCCAGCAAATCGAAGGGTTCGACGCGTGGCCACGGCAAAGCGAGCATTTCCAACGTGAAGATGACAATAAAATTTATTAGGATTTGAGTTGAAAGGTTTATGGCCCATCACGTGTAGAAATGGTATTTCCTTCTAATGACACATAATTAAGGACTAAATTACTCAAAAATATCAAAATGTCGATCTTCTTCTACACATTTTGATGATAGGTATTTTAGTAATATTATAGAGCGGTTTCATTGTAAAAATTTGAGACTTGAATAAGGAGTAATGAAATTGTAACAGTTTGAATAATTTAAATTGCTCATTGAATTGGCAGAATATTTGACAGTTACGTTGGGAAATTTTAATACGATGTTTGGATTTTTTATATTTTTTTCTTTTATTGATATAGAAATTTTATCCATTAATTCGAAAATATTGTATTTTTCACTTCTTCGCGAAGAATTTTTGACTTTTAGAATAACTTATTCTAAAGAAGAATAATTTTGAAAAAATAATTTCATCGTATAAGAATAAAGTAAGTTTAAAATGTAGCATACATTAACGATTTCTCGTATATTTGGTTTAAGGAAATTACGTGAATGAAAGTTTTAGGGAATAAATTCTGGTATATTAAAGGATATGATTATTCTATCTTCAAATTGTGTAAAATATCTTTATCTACATAAAGAAATGAAAGTAAATTAAATGATTTAATAAGATGTAATAAACTGTTGGATTTAAATATTACTGTTCTATTTATTTCTGTCCTATTATAAGTTTATAACACACAATTTTATACGCTTGTTCCAAATATTGAAGCATTTCATAATACAAAATTTAGTAAAGACTCGTCACTAATGAGGTTCACGTTGACCCACAACATGAATCAATAATTATTCTTATGAGGACATAAATGATAAAATGGTTGAAATTAATATGCTGCCAAGTAATAATCCAGAGAGTCCAGATAATCTAAATAAATTTGAGTTGCGAAATTGCAGCGTTTCATTACATAATAAATAATGGTATTTTAAAAATCATTTAATAAATTGACATCATTACGCTATTAGCAACAAATTTAATATCGAAATATTAATATAATTCTTTTAGATCTTTTTGAGGAAGTAAATTATATTAGATTTTATGGACATACAGCGTGTGAAAATAAGATAAGCATAATAAAATAAAAATATTAACCAAAGCTATAGTTATTTAACCTTCTAAAGATATTAAACAAAAAATATTTAATTAAATTTTTAGTATGTTAAATAACATACTAAATACATTAGTATGTTTCTATCAGATTCTGATTAAAATAATTAAATAAAACAGCAAAATAAGTCAAGTAAGAATTAAAATGAGAAACGTATTTGAGTGATCATTTGAATGTAAATAACAAGTAAATAAACATATTTAAATAAACTTTCATTTCAATTTCGTTCACTCCAAATCATTATACTATCTGCCACTTATAATTAATTAAATACCTTCATTAATAAAAGCCACTTCGCTTTTACCATCCATTTCAATAAATCACTGTTTAAAAGAAAAAATTCATATCTACATCCTAATAATATATTTAAACCAGCTTCTGACGCGTTAGTTACCACACGAACCTCATCTCTTATAAAAAACAATGATTAATTTATTCAATAATAAAATTTTTAATTTTCACTGTTCTACAATTACATTATTCAAAAATTCATGTTCATGTTAGTCTAACAATAATCGCCATAATCTAATCATTTTTAAGCAACTCACTGTGGCGGTCAATGTATTAATGAACATAATCGTATCAGTACAGACGTAACAATTACTGCTTAACAATTTTCCAGACACATCAGACAATGTGCTCTCGACACATAGCTTCTCACAACAATAAACAACTCTCTCCCCAGTGTGAGCATTGTCACGCCAGCACCTTCACAACTCCATCACGCAATGGTGTCATTCCCTGTGAGACTCTAATCTGCGTATCGTAATGTTATAGTTTCGAAAGGTTGCAGGAGAACGCCGCGAAGACCTCCGATGGGAGAGAGACTTGGATCGGAAGAGCAAGTCTAGAGCAACGTCGCCGGATCGTTACCAGGTCGATAGGGGGCGAGGTGTCAGCTCCCAATGGGTCGCTGTCGAACCTTCTTCTGCTGCTGGTAAGGACACTTGTTCACGGTTCAGTATACTATGTTTTCTCACATTGACATCTGTTTTCCTTATGGTAATAGCATCCCTAGTTTTCAAACAAACTTCCATGAGGAACCGCGGGAACGCGTTATTCCTTATTTGCGACGCCACTACGAGGGCTTCTTTGCGATATACACCGCGACGCGAAGTTAACCTCTTGCCCTACAATATCGTGTCAGACACGTGGCAAAGATTAAACAAAATTTAACAAGCATAAGCATTACTTAATTCTTTCGAATTCAAATTAAAATTCTTCTGTTATCACTTATTATACTTTAGAGTAAACATAGGCATAGAATATGCTCCGAATTTTTCTCTTTTTCCAATAAATTATTAATAATAAAGTAGTTGCATCAATCATGGTTATGAAATAAATCATAAGGCAAGAGGTTAATATTAACCATACCGGTATTTTACGGATATCTATTCCTAGCGTAACTGGTTAAATAACTGGCTACAAAATAAGGATAAACAAGTTCGATGAAAAGTTGTTCTTAGTGGAAATGGAAACAAACAGAAAAAACAAAAATTGAAAAATTGACTAATCGGTCAATACAGGAATTGATAAATGAATGAAGGAATATTCACCGTTTTAAATGAAAGATTAAAACCGATCATTTGATCGATTCGTGGTATGGTTAGTGCTAAGCCTGCTACGGTCCTCGGTTTATGTACAAATGTGAAATATTATCGAAATAATAAGAGCGTATAGAGTAATAATAATTTTATTATAGCTTTTTATTTAGAAAAGAGAGAGAAGAATAAAGCAGACAAATGTAATTAATTCAGTTCAGTTTGTAACGTTCATTCAGTGATTCTCGTATTGTTTCATAGACATTTTGGTAGGAACGAGGCAAAATTCATTAATCCTAGATAAACAAACATTCGCTTATAGACTCTACACATTCACTCCTTTAATATCTGTAAAGAGTGCAAACAAAACTTTGAACACTTTTCTAGATTTTAATTAGAATCTAATAATATATCTTTGATGTTGCTTTATTTTGTTTGAAATAAATAGAAGAAATATAAAAGTATATATGTTTATTAGTAGTCTATGAGTCGAATGTCTAGTTAGAAGGTAACACTCATTTCACTTTAGTTATCTAGCGTTAATACAATAGAATCTGGTGAATAAGTATTAGTAAGTAGTAATAAATAGACTGTGGATTTTATGCGTATACAATGCACATGATTATTTAAAAGAAAATCAGTCAATCATTAACAGTTAGAAGTTTGTAAATTGAGTTTCATAAATATGAATATGTCTCACTTTATTTATGTGGAAGGGAACGGCTATGTTATTATTAAGTACCATATAATTTTGTCGCGATTAATTCTTCTAAAGTGTAAGGTAATTTTTATGATAATTTTCACGAGTTTTTCACTCAAGAACTTTCACCTTGAAGAAGCAGAAAGTAGCAGAATAAATGGCCTAGTATTTTAAGTCCTCTATAAATTTAGGAAGTTTCCAAAAAGTTGGCATTATCTGGTCACCTAAATTTTCCCGTACGCTTTAAACGAATTAAATCATCAATCTAATTA